AATGAAATTCAACTTGTAAAACAGAACCAAGATTTCTCATCTGGGGTCTGAAGTGATTTTACTGTTGCTAAAAAAGAAAGATAAAAGGGTAAAAAGGTTAGTGAATGCTTTGGAATTACCAGGATTTCAGCACTGATTACTCACAAAGTGTGTTTGTCACATTGTGAATTATATGAAGCTCAGGCCGCCTTTTATGAGTAATCACTGCAGAAATCCTGGTAATTCCAAAGGGTTCACAGAGGGGTTTTGGGAACGGTGTCCATCTCTAATTCTGACAGTTGTTGTAATACATTTCCAGATTTGATTTTAAGAACGTACTGACTCCACTTCTGAACAGTCAAAATTCATTTGTAAATATTACCCTTTCATTGGTCAGATGTGACACTGGTGCTCTATGATTTCATCGGTTTCCATCCTTCCATTCCTCCATCATGAATAATTTGGTGCGCTGTCTTATCTGTCTGCTGCACGGCAGCTGTGGAGCTAGTCTGGCTGCTATTGTTCAGCCCAGCTGAATAATGGATGCCCCCCCTGCAACACTAGACCCTGGGCTGAACCGGAGATTGACCAGGAGTGTACCTCCTTTCTGGTAAGGGCAGGTAGAGAGGCGTGGGTGGGGGAGGATGATGGAGGTTGGAGACAGATGACAGAGGGCTACAGACAGTGAGTTTAGTGTTGGAGGGAAATATTCTTGCACTAACTTGACAAATACTCTGTTTTTTGTACTGATACTGTGAATCTGGCTTCATGTCACTCATGACTTGTCTGAGCTGCGGTCTTAAGATTGAGCAAGTGGTTGAACAGATAAAGTCCATCTCGTTTAAATTGGTGGAAACTTTGACCGTCTAACCTGATAAAAGATGAATCTCACTGTGTAATTTTCCATGTTACTGAAGGCATTTCCCAAATAGAAACACATTTATTTACCTTTTTTTTTTTTTTTTTTTTAATTCAATAATTATTTACTTTTGATTTATTTCAAAAACAGTGGACAGTAAAACACTGGAGCCTCTCCAGCTGTCGTAGGGTGAGAGACCCACGATGGGCCGGTTGCCGGTCCATCACAGAGGCAACAAGCATCCGCGCTCACATTAACACCTGCAGTAAAATGTTGAGTCACCACTTAGCCGATCATGAATTTTGTTGGATTGTGGGAGGAAACCCGGAGCGCTCGTGGAAACAACCCACACGAGCACAGGGAGCACCCACGTGATCGGCGGATTTGAACCCAGGACTTTCTTGCTGTGAGGCACAGCGGTTGTTTTTTGTTTGTTTTTAAACAAATATACAGTGGGGCAAAAAAGTATTTAGTCAGCCACCGATTGCGCAAGTTCCCCCACTTAAAATGATGACAGAGGTCAGTAATTTGCACCAGAGGTACACTTCAACTGTGAGAGACAGAATGTGAAAAAGAAATCCATGAATTCACATGGTAGGATTTGTAAAGAATTTATTCATAAATTAGGGTGGAAAATAAGTATTTGGTCACCTCAAACATGGAAAATCTCTGGCTCTCACAGACCTGTAACGTCTTCTGTAAGAAGCTTTTCTGTTCCCCACTCGTTACCTGTATGAATGGCACCTGTTTGAACTCATCATCTGTATAAAAGACACCTGTCCACAGCCTCAAACAGTCAGACTCCAAACTCTGCCATGGCCAAGACCAAAGAGCTTTCGAAGGACACCAGGAAAAGTATTGTAGACCTGCACCAGACTGGGAAGAGTGAATCTACAATAGGCAAGCAGCTTGGTGTGAAAAAATCAACTGTGGGAGCAATCATCAGAAAATGGAAGACATACAAGACCACTGATAATCTCCCTCGATCTGGGGCTCCACGCAAGATCTCATCCCGTGGGGTCAAAATGATCATGAGAACGGTGAGCAAAGATCCCAGAACCACACGGGGGGACCTGGTGAATGACCTGCAGATAGCTGGGACCAAAGTAACAAAGGTCACCATCAGTAACACACTACAACGGCAGGGAATCAAATCCCGCAGTGCCAGACGTGTTCCGCTGCTGAAGCCAGTGCATGTCCAGGCCCGTCTGAAGTTTGCCAGAGAGCACATGGATGATACAGCAGAGGATTGGGAGAATGTCATGTGGTCAGATGAAACCAAAGTAGAACTTTTTGGTATAAACTCAACTCGTCGTGTTTGGAGGAAGAAGAATACTGAGTTGCATCCCAAGAACACCATACCTACTGTGAAGCATGGGGGTGGAAACATCATGCTATGGGGCTGTTTTTCTGCCAAGGGGACAGGACGACTGATCTGTGTTAAGGACAGAATGAATGGGGCCATGTATCGTGAGATTTTGAGCCAAAACCTCCTTCCATCAGTGAGAACTTTGAAGATGAAACGAGGCTGGGTCTTCCAACATGACAATGATCCAAAACACACCGCCCGGGCAACAAAGGAGTGGCTCCGTAAGAAGCATTTGAAAGTCCTGGAGTGGCCTAGCCAGTCTCCAGACCTCAACCCATAGAAAATCTGTGGCGGGAGTTGAAAGTCCGTGTTGCTCGGCGACAGCCCCAAAACATCACTGCTCTCGAGAAGATCTGCATGGAGGAATGGGCCAAAATACCAGCTACTGTGTGTGCAAACCTGGTAAAGACCTATAGTAAACGTTTGACCTCTGTTATTGCCAACAAAGGTTATGTTACAAAGTATTGAGTTGTATTTTTGTTATTGACCAAATACTTATTTTCCACCCTGATTTATGAATAAATTCTTTACAAATCCTACCATGTGGATTCATGGATTTTTTTTTTTCACATTCTGTCTCTCACAGTTGAAGTGTACCTCTGGTGCAAATTACTGACCTCTGTCATCATTTTAAGTGGGGGAACTTGCACAATCGGTGGCTGACTAAATACTTTTTTGCCCCACTGTATGCTCATTTTGATGACGCAACACTGAAAGTCAAATTTGTTAGGCGTTCAGCTACTCAACAATTCAGAGCCTCTTTTGTCCTTATTTGGTTTCATAATGGGCCAAATGAGCCAGTTTAGGCTCTTTTGTTAGCGATGCTGTTATAGTGCATGCATATGTGGCTTTGCTGACACAAGCGAGGCCTTGCTGGGAAAAACAGCACCTTGATGGCAGCATACCTGTTTATGTCTCTCAGCATTAATGGGCCTTCAGACATGCACACGTTCCCCCTGCATGTGCGTCCTTTTGAGCAGCCTGGAAGCTTCCACTTCTCTTTAGCCGACGTCTAGTTTTGTTTTTTGCTGTATTTTGTTTTCTGTGTGATTAATAATAATATGCACAGACGCCACTTATCAGTATGCCTCTCAGCAACCCCCACAGTACAGCAAAGCTGAACATACACTCCTTTTACAGTGACTCAGCAGAGACTGAGCATTATTATGTTCACGAAAGTAGGATTGACCACACGGCAGTATCAGCTTGTGTCATATGAATATACACGACAGTGTTGGCCCAAGGCGCTGTGTGATTTTCTTTTTTCTTTTTGTAGACATACGCTGTGAAGTGTTTAAAATCTATTCTCTCATGTCGGTCTCTTTCTGCTTGACATTCAGAGCTCATCTTTACAGCTCTAAAAATGTAGTCGATGGCCAGATTTTAAAGTGTGTGTGTGTGTGTGTGTGTGTGTGTGTGTGTGTGTGTGTGTGTGTGTGTGTGTGTGTGTGTGTGTGTGTGTGTGTGTGTGTGTGTGTGTGTGTGTGTGTGTGTGTGTGTGAGAACACTTTCATGAATAAAAAAAGCAGGATATTTTTCTGCCTCAGGTCTGCAATAATTCTATTTGACCCGATCACTTTGCTGAGGAAAAACTCTATAAATAAAATTTTCGAGTTCGTTTTATTCAACAAATTTTATCTGTATGAGTCAGCAACCGCTGCTTTCTCATAGCACCGGCACCTTGGCGAAGAGAGGCCTGTGTGAGAACATGGCTTAAATAAGAACTGACTGCTAACTTTACACATCACGCTATTGAAGGCTGAACATGTCGTCTTTTACTTTTAGGGTAGTCATTATAATGCTTACAGATCCCTTTTGTAATTTCGAGGAACTGGGTTGCCTTTGTGTTGGAAGATAAGTCGCCCATTTAGTGTTGAGTTGGTTTGAATTTGTTGGTTTTTCACATTTCAGGTTGTCAGAGGTGTCTCCGTTGGTGCGAGAAGCCCTGAAGACTTCGGCATCTGTGGAGTATTTGAACACGCTGATGGTGGAGCTGGGTCTGCAGGAGCAGGACCTTCTGAATTTGGTCCAGCTGTTTAAATCCCCTGCGCACTGACACGGATACGGATAAAGCAATAAAACTGCACTCTTTGACTGTGTGACAAATGTTTGTTTGTTTGTTCTATTGTTTTCTGGATTGTCTGTTTCCACAAAATAAATGTATCAATAATAATAATAATAATAATAATAGTAGTAGTAGTAGCAGGAAGTTGTGTGTTTTATCCTGCATGTTGTTGGAGACTGTTGGTGTTGCGCACACAATCTGTGGTGAGATATGCCCAAATCAGATCCTTGAAGTTTTAAAGCTGTGGATGTTTAACGTAGGCGGGGCCAAATAAATCACACCCAGCTTCTTCTTTTTTTTTCTCTCCCCTGAGTGAAAACGCCATGTGGGCACGCTGCATATTGCTGCTGCTAGAGGAGCTCCTCCTGCAATAAAACCAGCGCTATTTCTCCCGACTTCCTTTACGTGGAGGTTTTATGGCGCCATAATATCATTTATTATACGGGTATGCCAGCAATGCGCTTGTCTGAAAATATTTGGTTTTGACCAGGTGGCGCATGCAGCGAAACGTTTCTGCTATTTAATATCTGAGATATAACACCGAGACGTGATTGATGGGTCTGCACGGCTGAGCGCACAGCTTCTCGTTTGTTCACGGGTCAAACGAGTGGACCGGTGAACGGTGGGTTTAGCCGGTAGAGTAGATGTTTGTGGATAAAAACTACATGTGTTTAACCGGTAATTAAATGTAGAAATATGGGGGAAAAATGACAACTGCGCTCCTTAAGTTAATATTTAATCCGTTAAAAAGGCTGACTAAAACAGCACGGTAAGCTTATAAAAGCTTGTGAAATTATTTAGTAGTTTTTTTTTCATAATAATAAAAACACAACAGATAAATAAACAATCAGCGTATCTTAGGCTAAGTAGGGGGGAAATAAACCAATTACAGCAAACTTAAAGCGCCACAAGTTTCGATTAACTCCTGCTTATTTCAGTCCGTGCTGCGTCTCTTTGTGCCTCCTCAGATCCACTTTCCTCTGGAAACCTTTCCCGCAGAGGTCACAGCCGAAGGGCTTGAAGCCCGTGTGTTTCCTGCTGTGCGTGATGAGGTTGGAGCTCTGACTGAAGGCCTTCCCGCACACCTGGCACTTGTGCGGCTTCTCACCTGCAAGCAGGGACAAAATGGGAAAATGTTAGGTCTTATTTTTCTTTTTTGCACGTCTTGATTACTTTGACTTGCTAAAGCGTCTCACCTGTGTGAATGAAAGTGTGTTTTTTCATGTCTGACTTTTGGTGGAACCTTTTCCCGCAGTACTGGCACGGATAAGGCCGCGTGTCGGAATGGATGAGCAGGTGCGTAGAGAGGGTTGAAGAGCGCTTGAAGCTTTTGCCGCAGATCTTACAGCTGAAGCTCCTCTCCTGTAAAATACAGCATTCTGTCAGTGTCGAGAAACCTGGAAGTATCAGATTTAAATGTAGAAATGCAGTTTAAGCCAAGTCAGAGAGGTTGGTAGTGGGAAAAGAAAATGTCATCTGTGGCCTTTATGTCGAGGATGTGGATCTAAAGCGGGTTTAGGGGACGTGTGCACTGGTTTATTTCCGGCTTGGAGGCCCATACCTGCGAGTGAACCGCTCTGTGCTGATCCAAGCTCACTGCGTGTCCGAAGGTTTTTCCGCATATCCCACACTCAAACGGCCGCGTGCCGCTGTGCGACCGCCGCACGTGAACTTCCAGCCCGTGAGGCGTGGAGAACACCTTTGGAAAACACATGGATGATTCCAAATCAAACCCAAAATGAAGGGAAAACAATAGAGAAAATGTTAAAGAAGCGAAAAGGAAAACTGAACAAAATAAAAAACTGAAAATTATGACTTTAAGTGAAATTAGGGAAACGCCTACCTTGCAACATTTAATGCACTTGTATGATCCACTCGACTCGAGGTTTGCGCGGATGAAATCGTTCTCAGACTTGATTTCCGCCACGCGGGCCTGTTGCTTCGCATCCAGATACAGCTCGTCTCTGTCCCGCATCCTGCAGATTTGGGCCGTTGAAGAATAACCCTGGTAACATCCGGCCGCGAGGCCCCGCTGTACATAAAGGGACTCACTGCCGCTGTCCTCTCCCCTGTAGATGCTTATAGGTGACTGGGACTCCCTGTGGCTCTGGAGGTGGTGGTGATAAGACCCCTGAACCAGATGTCTCAGCTCGGTTCCTGAGTATGCCGACCAGGAGTACGGGAAGATTGGCATGTTCGAGTGACCGTCCTCCGCTGCAGGAGTGGAGCATTTCTCAGAATCTGAAAGTTAATTTGGATATCTTTAAAAACTTCAAATAATGTCCTGCATTAAAAAAAAAAATGGACACCTGGAAAATGCACTGCACTTTATTGGACATGACTCCATACCGTGCGTAAAAGTCAAAGCAAACAAAAGTTTTAAGTCGTTATTGGGTCGTGTGTCCGGTCACTAATCACAAGTGTCCTTTTGATTCTTTCACCAAATATTTTATATGTGAAATAGAAGATATGAAATATAATTATTCGTATCTTCATCACTTCATCAAAAACCTTAAAGTTTTTATGTTTAATTTATAGCCCAAATAATTTCTGCTTTAATAAACAACAACAATAATAATAATAATAACAACAATAATAATAATTAATCATACACAAATATAGTTGGACAAGTCGGGTTGAAAATGCGTAAAGGTTTTGACATCTCATGAACCCAACACCAAATGAAACGAAGGATTAAAAAGAGAAAGAGAAAAATTCTTTAAATTTTAGACACAAACTGATGATATTTTTGTCTTGATAAGAACAGACCTGGTGAGGACGAGGGGGACGGGGGACGCCAGAAATCACAGTCGGAGGACCGGTCACAGGCGCTGCCTCCGCAGCTCAGCGGGGAGCTGGAGGACAGAGACCTCGGGGACCTCAGCCGCGACCCAGGGGACAGTCTGTCAGCGCCGGTCCTCACGTCTTCCTGCTCTAGATTGGAATCGAACTCGGCTTGAGATTTTGTTTCTATATTGGCACAAGAGGATAATCAATGAAAGGAGTTATGAATTTGTGCACTTGAATTTTCAGAATTCCCACTAAGACGACTCCTTTTTCTTCCCCAAGTTTCGTGCGTAATTACGCACAAATGCACCCACCTGCGCACACATCAGCCATAATAGTGTCCAGTCTACTGTAGTCATCGTCGAAGTAGCGGTGCTGGTGGTAGCTGTGGGCCCTTTTGCTTTTCACCAGGAAAGATCTCGGCATGTTGTTGAAGTTTTCTTCAGTCTTAAAGCTCGGCGCTGCTCGGGTCCGAAATCCTTCACGTCTGTCCCCTCAGCGTTGCTCTGACTTTATCTCTGGACAGATTGGAACACTATTGGTTGTCAGGCGATACGGTGTTAGGATTTTTGGCAGTCTATTACGCATGCGCAGAGAAGCCGTATCGTTTACCAGGTGACGCCGGGCAGGTGACCAAAAGTGGAGCCACCTTCCCCTCAAAGAGTAGATATGCGTCTGAAGACCACATACTGCGCTTCAATTCAGTTTACTGTAACGGACGTCAGCTGAATCACAGAAGAGGAAGTCTATGTATGTTTACGTAGCTCGTGGAGTAACGTCGACTTAAACTACATACGGCCTAAATTAAAAGCATATGGTGTAATAATATTCACTGATATTTTTATGAAGTAAACATGTTTAAAGTAATTTTGAAAATTTTACGTATAATGACATCTTTTTTGTTTTTTTTCCCATTTACAATATTCTAAAGGCATTAAAATACATTTGGAGCCGAAATTTGATTTGTGTCCTGAGAAGTTGATGTTTGTATATTCAAAGCATAAACTAACTGAAATTATCATAAGTAAATAAATTAAAATCAGTTGATTATATATAATTTGGATAAAGTGAGACATGAGAGTTGCGGGTTTGAGGCTGGTGAATACAGGCAGAGCAGGCAGTGATGGATAATGACCTATTTGTTTGACTGGTTGTAAAGTGATCTCGTTAATGAGACGGCGCACGGCCGCTATGCGCAACAGCCTGTTGGTGGGGAGCCGAAGTATCCCTTTACAGTCGCTCTGCTTCAGCTTACCCGCACTGACTTCAGCCTTATTGTTTTACATTATTAAAACCTCCTCCAGGCTAATAGACAGACCCAATTAAGCAGTGCACTGAACAAAAGTACAAGAAGAGTCACATGCCAGTGCCAGCTGGAGAGGATAAAAATGTGTAAATACTGATGATGATAATAAAATCACAAAAGCGAATTTTTCCCCCTTTAAGCAGAAATCTGTCAGGCTCAAAATGCAAATCATTGCGAAGATTTGGGTTCAAGGTCATACTAAAGCAAAGCGGTATCGATTTTATCCGTTTGTGGGAACAGACTTTGTTTGATGCAGCTGCAGCAAGTTAGAGACCTGCAAGCAAAACTCAGATAGCCGAGGCACGAAGCCGAGCGCACATGTCCCATACTCACACGGCACTGACACCGCAGGCACTAATATCCCGGCTTCGAGAGCACACACTCTCCAGATCTCTGTCCGCACTGGGTCTGACTGTCAGAGAGCCGCTTCTCATACTGTCTCAACGCATTCACGCGTGCACACACACACACAGGCGTGCGCGAGCTCCTTGTCCCTCCTGATCTCGTCCCCTCCCTCAAAAATTAATTTTAATGTCAGTCAAGCATGACGGTCAAACAAAAACACTGATTCATCTTTTGATAAAAGAGTCCCCCAGTGCCAAAATCGTTCTGCATTTGCGTCGCACAAAAAATAAATCCCGCTGCCTTTTTAGATTTCCTTCTCACGACTGTCACTCACAGCCCGCACTCCGAGCCAGATTTCTGTCCATTTCTCTGTGATATTAAAAACAAATTTACATCGGTTTCATATCTGTGATTGCCGTTATTTTTTCCTGATAAGTTACCAACGTTTACTTTCATTATTGCACTCACTGAAAAAAAGAATGAAACAAAAGACAAAGAAAAACAAAAGAAAAATACTTCAGCTATAAAATCAACAAGTCCTAGCCTCAAACTCACCATTTGTTTCTGCTTCATGGTTGCTTAATTACACCTAGCAAAGATAAAAATAAAAAAAACCCCAGCTCAATCGCACATTTAAATCGCCCTGTTTGAATATCAGCCGCTCTGATTATTCTTAAAGCTGTGAGAAGTGAGAGAGAGAGACACACACACGCAGAGGGACAGACAAGTGACAACAGTCAAACTCAGGGTTACACACTGACTCAGAACAGGAAACCATGCAGAGTGAGAAGACGCTATCAGGGCTGCCACAGGCTCCTCTCGTGTGTCTCCCCCTCCCTCCCCCCAACACAGACAGGCCTTGATTCTTGCTCTTTTAACTCTTACAGCAAGTATGTGATTGAAATAGAAGCTCAATCGCAGCGATCAGAGGGGGTGGAGGAGGAGGGTCTCTTTTTTTTTTTTTTGCTTTGCTTCATTCGCCACTCATCAGCCTTGTCTACCTGCGAGTCACAGTCCCACGGGGTTAAATAAAGACTTGTGCTGCCGAGCCATGAGGTTATTTTCTCAAGCTGAACCTCGAACCCCCTTTTTGGCTCTATAGCGAGGAAAGACAGAGGCTGTGGGGGGACTCCTCATGGTTTTAAATATACTTGAGGCTACAGCTTTTGCACCACATGCATGTGAATGTTGACAAGAAGAGGTGCAGCATGCACTGTGACTTGTCACATGTCTTGATTTTGCCTCTTGCACGTCAGGTGAAGTCAGGCCTGTATAACTCCAGTCAAACCTGGTAACTATCGATAACAACCATGGGCTCTTCAAAGATTTTAAAGAAAGCCATCAAGTCTTTTGGTCTAACTAGCTTAACTGTTTAAACGTTGGCCTTACTTGGTAGCTGAAGCTCACATTTTTCATCTGTACCCAGCCATCAGCATTGAAGGGCTGACAACTGAAACCACCAAGAAGTACTAAAAACGGCAGTTCCTGAATGCCGCTTAAGGCTCCAAAAATGAATCAAGTCTATAAGTTTGCTGTGAAGATATCCTCTTTTTTAAAGGCCCTTAAGATTTTTCAAGGGAGACCTGGCCAAGAAGGGAATCTATTACAAGGTTACAAAAAATATAAACTACACTGTAAAGATGAAACGAACAGAGAAATAATAAGCAAATGAGCAACATCAGGCCAGCTTAGGCTTGGAAGCTGCAGTCTTCAGGTACAGAATTTGTGATAGAAGCTCTGAACTTTCCCTGATAGACAAAAATATTTATCTTTTGCATTTTCTAAAAGTCTTTCCCCGGCCAAGGGACAAAATAAGAAAATGTTGATCTATCATATTCAGAAAAAATCTAAAGGAGCCTTCAGCTGTCTGCTTTTGATTGTCTGAAGTGGACCTTGACAATATTTGTGGTGCCGATGCCTTTTGGAGCATTTGCACTGCAAGTATGTGCCAAATAATACCGTTTGATCTCTGCTTAATGTGCTTGCAGCCTATCCAACAAGTCTGTTGTCAAGTGTTTCTGAGTGAATTTCTAGTATGTTATTTGTACGTTACTTATCACTAATTAGCAGATATCTGCAGGAGGCCTGGTTATAGCTGAGCTAGCTAGCATTAGCTAACATTCCACTCTCTTGTCCAAATATGGAGACTTCTAGCTCCAGAAAATCAAAGTGGTGATCCCCAGAATGCTAGAATCCAGGTTTGGGAGTATGAGTCCACAGATTATATATATAGAACAAAATCTTTGTAGCTAGTGAAACGAAACAAATTCAGGAGTGCCTTACACCTGCTTCCCCCCCCCTATAATGACAAGTGTGAGTTTGCAAAAGCAAAACATGTAGTTCATTATGAGTCTTCTGGAAAGTGGCTCTTTGGTGCCCTCGCTCTGTGGCCTCAGTGAACACTTTCATGATGAGCTGATAGTTTCAGTCGCTAATTTAAAGTTTGCAATATGACGTTGAGTTTCATAATTTTTGACTTTATTGGTGTCAAAAGGAGGATTAAACAGGGTATGCATTACCATATGACTGTCACATTTTCACAATTAGATTGGCTTGGAACATTAGGATGGTGACAGCTAATGGGATTTTGGTAACCAGGGGATGGCTAAGTCCATCTTTGGTATACAGTCTATGCTACAAACTAATGCACAGTACCAGACCGCCCCCCCCCCCCCCCCCCCCCCCTTTATTTTTAATGGACTGTGGGCATATCAGACTGTTTACTTTCCCATTGATTGCGTGTTTGTTTCCTGGAGATTCATCAAAAAACTGCAGTCTCACATTAAGTCAAAATGAAACTGAATGAGGAAAAAAAAGTTTGTTCTTAGAAAAGTCATTCAGTCCTCTTTTCTTTGGTTTTGTTGTCGGACCAGAAAACAGAATCATTTCAAGCAGTGCTCTCTCCTTTTGCAGAACATAACCACATGAGGCTGATTTTACTAACTGCCCCAGTCTGCAGTGGATTCATGGCATAATAACCTGTTGTGGTTAAACTGACTTTCCTTGGTTTATGTCCTTCTTCAGTCCCATGTTTTCAGCAAGGAGCGTTCACCTCTGTACCTCCGGACTCTTGTGGCATCTCAATGAAAACCACATCACGCTATCTCATCCCCTCACAGGTTCCTTTGGCTCCATAGCTCTAACCACCATTTAACCTCCCCACCCCACCCCAACCCCCACCGGCTTTCTTTTAAACTCCTTCATTCTTTTTCCTTCAGTTAGACAATAAGATTTTAGTCCTTGTTTTGGGTTCAACTGTATGCCCCCCCCCCCCCCCCCCCCCCCACCACCACCCACCCCACTGGGAATTACCAGCCAAATCTCATCAAGCTCTCAGCTGGGTCCACCTGCAGCTACCAGATAGGGACAGAGTACTAAAACAATGTATGATTTACTGGATGCAGCTGAACACGAGACAGTTCTTCTTTTTCACAGGCGATCAACAAATGTGTTGCCTTTACTTGCACACTCTCAATCAAGTCTGCAGCTGTGAGCGGCGTTTGAGCTGCTCTAACTGATTCGTCTCTGTCAAAGTTTTACTTATTGGGTTAATATCCTGATATGACACTAGAGGATCACAGAGGGCACCCGGGGATCTGCAGTGGTGCCAAATCCCAAGGACACAAAAGCCTCGGAAGCCTGCAAAAACAGTGAAAAGAAACTGCTCAGCAAATCCTCTGAGTTGTGCAGTAAACACCCCACAAATCACCTCCCTCATTCATCACTTTGGATTCAGCAGCTCCCCTTGTTTTAACTGTTTCTGGTTGTAAATTTCTCTCCCCCTCCACACACCTCACCCCAACCCCGAGATACCGAGAAACTCAGTGAGGACATTGGTGTCTGGACGTGAAGAAAGCTGCTGGGTGTTTCCTGGTCATTGTATCTGTTTGCATGTCTGTGGAGGTGAGGCAACCATTCGAAAGGTCAGAGTTCAACAGGCACAGTTGAGTCTTAATGACCCTTCACTTCAGGTCACAGCTTCCAAACGGCAGGATTCAAACCAAAGAAGTAATTTTATACAGAATTTATACAGGAAGCTCATGTGTTTTAAGTCAAGGGTAAAGACTGCAAAAAGTGATGTTAGGAGGCGTTTTCTTTGCATGCTGCAAGTATTAAGTTGTTTGAACTTATGGTTTATCACACTGATGCATTTTCACAGAGAAAACACCAGTATGACTGTTTTTTTCCTTCTTTTTTCACAGGTTGTAAAACACTGGTCACAGCTGGGTAGACGAGACCAAAGGTGGCGTTTTTCACACAAAAACTTCATCTCTGCACCATCTCTGCTCTTCCTTGTGTTAAAGCTAGCAGGCTCAGTTTAGTTTCAGCAGAACTGATTTGGCTTTGCTTAGCATTTGTGCGTCCTTGCATTATTTGCCTGTTTGCTTCAGCATGCCATCCTGGGCAAAGAGCTTTCCTTGCACTGTAGAATCTCTCAGTCTCACCCAGAAAAATCTCAAAATGCACGGGCAAGAACGTCACAGGGTTAATGATGTGTGTGAACGCTGCAGATTTCACTCCACCCGTTCTTCTTCATGGGCTTTAGACGGGAAGGGAGACATTAAACTGTGTCTGTATGCAAATGAAAATACATGCAATCAGCAGTGAGAAAACGAGCAGGAAAGAGTGTGCTGTGTTTCAACAAAGTGCAGTCTTCTTATCTGTGGTGTGCCTGCGAACACATTTGTTGATGTGTGACTTTCTGCAAGTCATTTCTAGTCCACTGCAACCACAAAAGTCTTCTTTTAAATCTATGTCCTGGCTTTTGGGGATGAAAGCATGATTTACATGTAATGAATGGTTTCCTGTTGATATTACTTCAGTGCAGAAGCCCTCAAAAAATAAAAGTGAAATCCTAAACATTCCACACTTGGAAAACTAGTTCATGGAGCATCTTCTGAGAGAGGATAAACGCACTGCAAACGTAACCCTTTGTTCCGCCCACCACACCCTCAGCCCATGTGTGAACCTTTAGTAACTGCTGACCACTACTACTGCTGAGGCATGACTGGACAAGTGCTTCTCTTAATTGCGAAATCAGTTCTGCAGAAACAGAGCTTGAACGGCCATGAGC